CTAAGTATTGTTTGTTTAATTGTTTTTTTGACACTTGAAAATGAGATGGTATTGGGAAATGAAATGAAAGCTTGTAGAGTATGTGTGTGTGTGTGTGTGTGCGTACATTCGTGAATGTGTGTGTGGCCGTGTGCCTGCGTGCGTGCGTGTGTGCATTCCTCACTTCTCTATAGGCAGAGCGTGTGGTCCAGAGATGGAGTATCTGTAGAGGAACGTCAGGAAGTTCCTGAATGAGTCAAAGAAGGGCCAGTGTGACAGCAAACAGATACTCTTGTTAGCATGAACGCTCTTTGCCCCCTTGCTGCTATTGCACGTGCCCGGTAGCCCCAGGAGAGAACGCTGTCTGTCACTCAGGTGGTCCTCTGGGTACGGCTCATAGAACTGAATGGCTGCTCCATACACCTGGAGAGAGGTAGACAAACACACACACACACACACACACACACACACACACACACACACACAGTAAGTAACATATCGCCAAATCCCCACAAACTCACATCACAGAATACCCTATTAGTTCTATGGTAATGATTTACCTTGACTACATATCCATAACTAATTTGTTACACATCTATAAGTATTTAATGAACGCGTTATAAAAAGGTCCCAGGTTAATTAATTATATCCATAGCATTTCTATAGCACATTCATGTCATGCTATGCAAGAGCTCATATTTAGGTTTCTTAATAGATACATCATTACAATGACAGTATAGTCATCATTATGGTTGTTCTCAAAGGTGTGCTTCTGTCATACCAGTCTTAGTGTGCTTCTGTCATACCAGTCTTAGTGTGCTTCTGATTCTTCTTCTCTTCTCTTCTTCTTTCTTCTCCTTCTTCTTTTCTCTTCTTCTCTTCTTCTTCTCACTGAGGTCTATGGTGCATGAACATCCCCACAGGGTTGAATCCTCAGGGTACATTTTACGGATCAAATCGTGTAGTTGAGGGTCATATCATAACTCTTTCGTAACTCGTCTGATAGATGGCATCATTCGCGCAAAACTGAAAGCGCGAACCACCGCATTTAACCATGGCAAGGTGACTGGGAATATGGTTGAATACAAACAGTGTAGTTATTCCCTCCGTAAGGCAGTCAAACAGGCAAAACTTCAGTACTGCATAGCATGACATTAATGTGCTATAGATATGCTATTGATATATATATATATATATAATTAACATTTAATAATGCAGTTGGGACCTGGTATAACACATTCATTAAATGCTTATATATGTGTAATAAATGTGTTATGGATATGTAGTCAAAGTAAATCGTTACCAATTATTCTTATCTCTTTGAAGTAATTTAATCTAAATAAATACATGATATAGTGGCATGATAGTGCCAGGAGAATAGCCTGCGAAGGAGAATGAGAGGTTGTGAGGAATCAGAGCAGAGTAGAGTAGAGACAGAGTAGAGTAGAGTAGAGACAGAGTAGAGTAGAGTAGAGTAGAGTAGAGTTAGAAGAGTAGAGCAGGACGGTAGAGTAGAGCAGAATAGAGTAGAGACAGAGTAGAGTAGAGACAGAGTAGAGTAGAGTAGAGCAGAGTAGAGTAGAGTAGAGTAGAGTAGAGTAGAGTAGAGCAGAATAGAGTAGAGTAGAGACAGAGTAGAGTAGAGACAGAGTAGAGCAGAGTAGAGTAGAGTAGAGTAATAGAGTAGAGTAGAGTAGATAGTAGAGTAAGCAGAATGAGTAGAGTAGAGACAGAGTAGAGTAGAGACAGAGTAGAGTAGAGTAGAGTAGAGAAGAATAGAGTAGAGTAGAGTAGAGTAGAGCAGAATAGAGTAGAGTAGAGACAGAGTAGAGTAGAGACAGAGTAGAGTAGAGTAGAGACAGAGTAGAGTAGAGTAGAGCAGAATAGAGTAGAGCAGAGTAGAGTAGAGAGTGGAGCAGAGTAGAGTAGAGACAGAGTAGAGTAGAGACAGAGTAGAGTAGAGTAGAGACAGAGTAGAGTAGAGACAGAGTAGAGTAGAGAGTGGAGCAGAGTAGAGTAGAGTAGAGACAGAGTAGAGTAGAGACAGAGTAGAGTAGAGTAGAGTAGAGACAGAGTAGAGTAGAGACAGAGTAGAGTAGAGACAGAGTAGAGTAGAGTAGAGTAGAGACAGAGTAGAGTAGAGACAGAGTAGAGTAGAGAGTGGAGCAGAGTAGAGTAGAGACAGAGTAGAGTAGAGAGTGGAGCAGAGTAGAGCAGAGACAGAGTAGAGCAGAGACAGAGACAGCGTCAAGTAAAGTAGAGCAGAGTAGTGTAGAGTAGAGTAGAGTAGTGTTGAGTAGATTATAGTAGAGTAGACCAGAGTAGAGTAGAGACAGAGCCCCAGAGTCTGCGGCACCACCAAGCAAGCGGCACCATGAAGACCAAGGAGCTCTCCAAACAGGTCAGGGACAAAGTTGTGGAGAAGTACAGATCAGGGTTGGGTTATAAAAAAATATCCAAAACGTTGAACATCCCACGGAGCACCATTAAATCCATTATAAAAAAATAGAAAGAATATGGCACCACAAGAGAGGGCCGCCCACCAAAACTCACAGACCAGGCAAGGAGGGCATTAATCAGAGAGGCAACAAAGAGACCAAAGATAACCCTGAAGGAGCTGCAAAGCTCCACAGCGGAGATTGGAGTATCTGTCCATAGGACCACTTTAAGCCGTACACTCCACAGAGCTGGGCTTTACGGAAGAGTGGCCAGAAAAAAGCCATTGCTTAAAGAAAGAAATAAGCAAACACATTTGGTGTTCACCAAAAGGCAATGTGGGAGACTCCCCAAACATATGGAAGAAGGTACTCTGGTCAGATGAGACTAAAATTGAGCTTTTTGGCCATCAAGGAAAACGCTATGTTTTTAAACGCCATGTTTTTAATCAGCAGGGACTGGGAAACTGGTCAGAATTGAAGGAATGATGGATGGCTCTAAATACAGGGACATTCTTGAGGGAAACCTGTTTCAGTCATCCAGAGATTTGAGACTGGGACAGAGGTTCACCTTCCAGCAGGACAATGACCCTAAGCATACTGCTAAAGCAACACTTGAGTGGTTTAAGGGGAAACAATTAAATGTCTTGGAATGGCCTAGTCAAAGCCCTAGACATGGGTCTCCCGGTCATGGGGCGGCGCACAATTGGTCCAGCATCGCCCAGGGTAGGGGAGGGTTTGGCCGGCAGGGATGTTCTTGTCCCATCGTGCACTAGCGACTCCTGTGGCGGGCCAGGGCGCAGTGCACGCTGACTCGGTCGCCAGGTGTACGGTGTTTCCTCCAACACATTGGTGCGGCTGGCTTCCGGGTTAAGCGGGCACCGTGTCAAGAAGCAGTGCGGCTCGGTTGAGTTGTGTTTCAGAGGACGCACGACTCTAGGCCTTCGCTTTCTCCCGTGTCCGTACGGGAGTTGCAGCGGTGGGACAAGACTATAACTACCAATTGGATACCACGAAATTGGGGAGAAAAAGGGGGTAAAATACTGAAAAAAATACAAAAAAATAAAATACAATAAAAAATGATACAAACCACCCCCCAAAAAATCATTTTAATTCTAGGTTGTAAGGCAACAAAATAGGGAAAATGCCAAGGGAGGTGAATACTTATTACAGGTATATACTGTACAGCTTCTCCTACCAGCCTCCTCTTTTGTGTGTGTTTGTGTGTGTGTGTGTGTGTGTGTGTGTGTGTGTGTGTGTGTGTGTGTGTGTGTGTGTGTGTGTGTGTGTGCTTGTCCCCACCTTGTCCCCAGAGGCCCCAGTCAGTACAAAGGTAGAGAAGACGGGCATGGAGTGTTTGCTGTGAGCTGGCCAGAACTCGATGCTAGCTCCCATGGGCAGACAGAACAGAGGAACAGACTCCGGCAGCGGGAAAGACTCATCATCCTCCTCTGGGTACCTACACAACAGACCTAGAGAGAGAAAACAGGTATAATATGTTCTAATTAGATTTGCATGATAGAAGCACACAGTACACCAGGGTTCTTCAATTCCGGTCCTGGAGGGCCGAAACACCTCTGTTTTTCATCCTCTCCTTCTAATCAGGGGCTAATTCAGACCTGGGACACCAGGTGAGTGCAATTAACTACCAGGTAGAAATAAAAAACAGAAGTGTTTTCGGCCCTCCAGGACCAGAATTGAAGAAGCCTGCAGTACACTGTCTTCACAGCACTTATCCAATCACTACTAGACAGTGGTGTAAAGTACTTAAATAAAAATAGTTGAAAGTACTACTTAAGTAGTTTTTTGGGGGTATCTGTACTTTACTTTACTATTTAAATTTTGGACAACTTTTACTTTTACTTCACTACATTCCTAAAGAAAATAATATACTTTTTACTCCATACATTTTCCCTGACACCCAAAAGTACTCGTTACATTTTGAATGCTTAGCAGGACAGGAAAATGGTCCAATTCCCACACTTATCAAGAGAACATCCCTGGTCATCCCTACTGCCTCTTATCTGGCGGATTCACCAAACAAATGCTTCCTTTGTAAATTATGTCTGAGTGTAACGAGAAAATGGCGCCGTCTGTTTTGCTTAATTTAAGGAATTTGAAATTATTTATACTTTTAATACTTAAGTATATTTTAGCAATTAAATGTACTTTTACATGATGATACATTAGTATCAAAGACTTTTACTCAAGTAGTATTTTACTGGGTGACTTTCACTTGAGTCATTTTCTATTAAGGTATCTTTACTTTTACTCAAGTATGACAATTGGGTACTTTTTCACATTTTAGCAGACACTCTTATCCAGAGCGACTTACAGTTAGTGAGTGCATAATTTATTTTTTATTTTTTTCATACTGGCCCCCCGTGGGAAACGAACCCACAACCCTGGCGTTGCAAACGCCATGCTCTATCAACTGAGCTACACGGGACTACCACTGCTAATAGATTATCCTTGTGTTTAGGGTTAGGGCTGGAGTGTCCAGTAGTGTCCAGTAGTCTCCAATACATTTACATTTACATTTTAGTCATTTAGCAGACACTCTTATCCAGAGCGACTTACAGTTAGTGAATACATTTAATTTTTTTTATACTGGCCCCCCGTAGGAATCGAACCCACAACCCTGGCGTTGCAAACGCCATGCTCTACCAACTGAGCTACATCCCTGCCGGCCATTCCCTCCCCTACCCTGGACGGTACTGGGCCAATTGTGCGCCGCCCCATGAGTCTCCCGGTCGCGGCCGGCTGCGACAGAGCCTGGATTCGAACCAGGATCTCTAGTGGCACAGTTAGCACTGCGATGCAGTGCCTTGGACCACTGCGCCACTCAGGAGTAGTGTCCAATAGTGTTCAAAAGTGTCCAATAGTGTCCAATAGTGTTCAATAGTGTCCAATAGTGTTCAATAGTGTCAAATAGTGTCTGTACATTTTTCAACCCAACATGATTAACCAACAGCTGTCTGTTCAGAATGATACAGTAGTAACACGTTCAATATTCTGTCCTATCACACTGTCCGTTCAATATTCTGTCCTATCACACTGTCCGTTCAATATTCTGTCCTATCACACTGTCCGTTCAATATTCTGGTCCTATCACACTGTCCGTTCAATATTCTGTCCTATCACACTGTCCGTTCAATATTCTGTCCTATCACACTGTCCGTTCAATATTCTGTCCTATCACACTGTCCGTTCAATATTCTGTCCTATCACCACTGTCCGTTCAATATTCTGTCCTATCACACTGTCCGTTCAATATTCTGTCCTATCACACTGTCCGTTCAATATTCTGTCCTATCACACTGTCCGTTCAATATTCTGTCCTATCACACTGTCCGTTCAATATTCTGTCCTATCACACTGTCCGTTCAATATTCTGTCCTATCACACTGTCCGTTCAATTCTGTCCTATCACACTGTCCGTTCAATATTCTGTCCTATCACACTGTCCGTTCAATATTCTGTCCTATCACACTGTCCGTTCAATATTCTGTCCTATCACACTGTCCGTTCAATATTCTGTCCTATCACACTGTCCGTTCAATATTCTGTCCTATCACACTGTCCGTTCAATATTCTGTCCTATCACACTGTCCGTTCAATATTCTGTCCTATCACACTGTCTGTTCAATAGAGAATCCAAGTACTTTACCTGCGTTGTATGCGATTGTGTTGGTTTTAGCCAGTGACTTCTTGTAACACAGGTACACTGAGGATCCCCACTGACATGGGACAAACAAACATTCACAACATTAGATTGAAATGGGACCAATGCATTCTACTAGAGTAGGTAGAAAATATATACACTGAGTAGACAAAACATTAGGAACACCTGCTCTTTCCATGACATAGACTGGCCAGGTGAATCCAGGTGAAAGCTATGATCCCTTATTGATGTCACCTGTTAAATCCACTTCAATCAGTGTAGATGAAGGGGAGGAGACAGGTTAAATAAGGCTTTTTAAGCCTTGAGATAATTGAGTCATGGATTGTGTATGTGTGCCATTCAGAGGGTGAATGGTCAAGACAAAAGATGTAAGTGCCTTTGAACGGGGTATGGTAGTAGGTGCCAGGCGCAACGGTTTGTGTCAAGAGCTGCAACGCTGCTGAGATTTTCACACTCAACAGTTTCCCCGTGTGTATCAAGAATAGTCCACCCCCCCCCCCAAAAGGACATCCAGCCAACTTGACACTGAGGGAAGCACTGGAGTCAACATGGGCCAGCATCCCTGTGGAACGCTTTCGACACCTTGTAGAGTCCAATGCCCCGACGAATTGAGGCTGTTCTGAGGGCAAAAGGGGGTGGAACGCAATATTACGAAGGTGTTCATAATGTTTTGTACACTCAGCGTAGTTCCCCAGGACGCTGTATTTGGTGAAAAGCATTAGGACCCTGGAGTCGAACCTGTGGGGGACACCACTTGTCAAGTCCTCGTAAGTAAGCCTTGTCCGAGCCAGAATGGCCCATAGGGCAGGCGCCTATCTCCTGTTTCTGTAGCGTGAGACAGCTTGACGTACAAGGACAGGACTCTAGATAACTCTGCAGCGCCTTCAGAAAGTATTCACACCCCTTGACTTTTTCCACATTTTGTTGTGTTACAGCCTGAATTTAAAATTGATTAAATTGAGATGTTGTGTCACTGGCCGACACACGATACCCTCATAGTGTAATAGTGGAATTACGCCTAAATACACTATACACACAAAAGTAAATGGACTCCCCTTCAAATGAGTGGATTCGGCTATTTCAGCCACACCTGTTGCTGACAGGTGTATGAAATCGAGCACACAGCCATGCAATCTCCATAGACAAACATTGGCAGCAGAATGGCCTTACTGAAGAGCCCAGTGACGTTCAACGTGGCGCCGTCATAGGATGCAATCTTTCCAACAAGTCAGTTCGTCACATTTCTGCCCTGCTAAAGCTGCCCCCGGTCAACTGTAAGTGCTGTTATTGTGAAGTGGAAACGTCTAGGAGAAACAACGGCTCAGCCGAAAAGTGGTAGGCCACACAAGCTCACAGAACGGGACCGCTGAGTGCTGAAGCGCGTAGCGCGTAAAAGTCCTCTGTCCTCAGTTGCAACACTCACTATCGAGTTCCAAACTGCCTCTGGAAGCAACGTCAGCACAATAACTGTTCGTCGGGAGATTCATGAAATGGGTTTCCATGGCCGAGCAGCCGCACACAAGCCTAAGATCACCATGTGCAATGCCAAGCGTCGGCTGGAGTGGTGTAAAGCTCGCCGCCATTGGACTCTGGAGAAGTGGAAAGGCGTTCTCTGGAGTGATGAATCACGCTTCACCATCTGGCAGTCCGACGGACGAATCTGGGTTTGGCGGATGCCAGGAAAACACCCAATTCATAGTGCCAACTTAAAGTTTGGTGGAAAAGGAATAGTGGTCTGGGGCTGTTTTTCATGGCTCGGGCTAGGCCCTTTAGTTCCAGTGAAGGGAAATCTTAACGCTCCAGCATATAATTACATTCTAGGCGATTCTGTGCTTCACAACTTCGTGGCAACAGTTTGGGGAATGCCCTTTCCTGTTTCAGCATGACACTGCCCCTGTGCAGAAAGCGAGGTCCATACAGAAATGGTTTGTCGAGATCGGTGTGGAAGAACTTGACTGGCCTGCATAGTGCCCTGACCTCAACCGCATCGAACACCTTTGGGATGAATTGGAACACCAACTGCGAGCCAGGCCTAATCGCCCAACATCAGTGCCCGACCTCACTAATGCTCTTCTGGCTGAATGGAAGCAAGTCCCTGCAGCAATGTTCCAACATCTAGTGGAAAGCCTTCCCAGAAGAGTGGAGGCTGTTATAGCAGCAAAGGGGGGACCAACTCCATATTAATGCCCAGGATTTTGGAATGAGATGTTTGACGAGCAGGTGTCCACATACTTCTGGTCATGTAGTGTATGTTCAGGAGTAAAAATGTGCTTAACAAGTCACATGGATTCACTCTGTGTGCAATAACAGTGTTTAACATACTTTTTGAATGACTACATCATCTCTGTACCCCACACATACAATTATTTGTAAGGACCCTCAGTCGAGAAGTGAATTTCAAACACAGATTCAACCACAAAGACCAGGGAGGTTTTCCAATGCCTCGCAAAGAAGGGCAGCTATTGGTAGATGGGTAAAAAAAAAAAAAAAGCAGACATTGACTATCCCTTTGAGCATGGTGAAGTAATTAATTACACTTTGAATGGAGTATCAATACACCCAGTCACTACAAAGATACAGGCGTCCTTCCTAACTCAGTTGCCGGAGAGGAAGGAAACTGCTCAGGGATTTCACCATGAAGCCAATGGTGACTTTAAAACAGTTCCATAGTTTAATGGTTGTGATAGGAGAAAACTGAGGATGGATCAACAACATTGTAGTTACTCCACAATACTAAATTAAACGACAGAGTGAAAAGTAGGAAGCGTTTACAGAATAAAAATATTCCCAAATATGCATTTAGTTTGTAATGAGGCTCTAAGGGGAAAGAAAGAGAAAAGATAAATGGAATAGAGCATCCTAGATGAAAATCTGGTTGTCTGCTTTCCAACTGTCACGCCCTGGCTCTGGGGACACTGTTATGTTGAGCCAGGGTGTGTAGATTTGTGTTGTAGTTCTAGTTGGTTCATTTCTATGTTGGCCAGTGTGGTTCTCAATCAGAGGCAACGAGTGTCAGCTGTGGCTGGTTGTCTCTGATTGGGAACCACATTTAAACAGGCTGTTTTCCCACAGTAGTTGTGGGATCTTGTTTCTAGTTTGGTTTGTGTTAGACCGTGAACTGTCACGTTATCGTTTTGTTTATTTTGTCAATATATCGCCTAATAAAGAGTATGTTTGCCTGCAACGCTGCGCCTTGGTCCTCATCTCTAACCAACGATCGTGACAGAAGATCCCACCAAGACTGGACCAAGCAGCAAGTCCAGGAGCCAGCGCCTGAGAGATCTCTAGCGGATCTCCTTCGCCTCCTCGACTGGGTCAAGCCATGTGAGGAAGAGAGGGGCTTGACTTGGAAGCAGAAGGGCGAAAGGCTGGCGAGAGATATGGAGACCGGGTCCACGGGTAGGAGTGAAGCCCATAAAATTTTTAGGGGGGGGCTAACGCCGTGGACGACGGGGCAGCAGGAGACCGCGACAGAGCAGCCCAGTGGGTTGGCAGAGGAGGCCGCCAGGTTACGGGGGCCACTGGTCGAAGAGGGGAAGGAAGGTGTAGAGGCACGGCGAGAGGTACTGGGGTGTGTTACCAGTCCGGTCCGGCCCGTTCCTGATCCCTGCATAGGGCCAGTGGTGTGTGTCCCCAGTACGGTCCGGCCTGTTCCTGTTCCTCGCACCAAGCCAGTGGTGTGCGTCGTCAGTACGGCACGGCCCGTGCCTGTTCCCCACACCAAGCCAGTGGTGTGCGTCGCCAGCCCGGTCCGGCCCGCTCCTGCTCCCCACACCAAGCCAGTGGTGTGTGTCGTCAGTCCGGCACGGCCCGTGCCTGTTCCCCACACCAAGCCAGTGGTGTGCGTCGCCAGCCCGGTCCGGTCCGCTCCTGCTCCCCACACCAAGCCAGTGGTGTGCGTCGTCAGTCCGGCACGGCCCGTGCCTGTTCCACCGGTGCCTGGTCCGGCACCGGTCAGCTGCTTCACGCCGGAGCTAGAGCAATCCGCTCCACCAGTGTGTAGTCCAGCTCCGGTCAGCGGGGCCAGACCGGACCAGGGGTACTTTGGGGGGTTGGAGAGGGAGTGGGGATCAGGCCCGGAGCCGGATCCGCCGCCAAGGCGGAGTGCCCACCCGGTCCCTCCCCTGTGGTATTTAGTTGACGCGGTCGGAGTCCGCGCCTTTAGGGGGGGGTACTGTCACGCCCTGGCTCTGGGGACACTGTTATGTTGAGCCAGGGTGTGTAGATTTGTGTTGTAGTTCTAGTTGGTTCATTTCTATGTTGGCCAGTGTGGTTCTCAATCAGAGGCAACGAGTGTCAGCTGTGGCTGGTTGTCTCTGATTGGGAACCACATTTAAACAGGCTGTTTTCCCACAGTAGTTGTGGGATCTTGTTTCTAGTTTGGTTTGTGTTAGACCGTGAACTGTCACGTTATCGTTTTGTTTATTTTGTCAATATATCGCCTAATAAAGAGTATGTTGGCCTGCAACGCTGCGCCTTGGTCCTCATCTCTAACCAACGATCGTGACACCAACAGACACTGGGAGATGAATATTGTATTGTATAGTATTGTATAGTATTGTATAGTATAGTATTGTATTGTATTGTATTGTATTGTATTGTATAGTATTGTATAGTATTGTATTGTATTGTATTGTATTGTATTGTATTGTATTGTATAGTATTGTATTGTATAGTATTGTACTGCATTGTATAGTATTGTACTGCATTGTATGATATTGTATTGTATTGTACAGTATTGTATTGTATAGTATTGTATAGTATTGTACTGTATTGTACTGTATTGTACTGTATTGTACTGTATTGTATAGCATTGTATAGTATTGTACTGTATTGTATAGTATTGTACAGTATTGTACAGTATTGTACAGTATTGTATTGTATAGTACTGTATAGTATAGTATAGTATTGTATAGTATTGTATAGTATTGTATAGTACTGTATAGTATTGTATAGTATTGTATGGGTTGATTTGGCTCACCATACTGCTGTTGAGGTTCTTGTCCACCTTGCAGAAGGTGTGAGGGGGCGTCTCCCCTTTGCCCGGGATGATGATGCAGACATCTGTGACAGCCAATGACGTGTGAGGCTGGCTCTGCGGGGCGCGGCGATAGGTGATGTAGATGCGCTGGGAGGAGGAGCTACTGATGTTGGCAGGGCGACCAGAGGGCGTGGTCTGGACGATGTGACAGCCAGGCTTCAGCTTCTCCTTCCACTCATACAGAACCCTGAGATACACAGAGAGGACAGAGGAGGAAATGTTAGGACTGATTCACAATACACAGCTGAGCCAAGCCAGGCCAAGCTGTATTGCACTGGCCTGGTCACTCATACACCATTGGATGCTGCCTTTGGATTGGGACACAGTCATTGGATGCTGCCTTTGGATTGGGACACAGTCATTGGATGCTGCCTTCGGATTGGGACACAGCCATTCTTTCTGGAAATAAAATATCTGAGCCAGCACTGTACAGTTGGGGTCGGCATGATAGAGATAGCACTGTACAGTTGGGGTCAACATGATAGAGATAGACATTTACATATACATTTTAGTCATTTAGCAGACGCTCTTATCCAGAGCGACTTACAGTTAGTGCATATATTTTTTTTTTTTCATACCCCCTGTGGGAATCGAACCCAGAACCCTGGCGTTGCAAACGCCATGCTCTATCAACTGAGCTACATCCCTGCCGGCCATTCCCTCCCCTACCCTGGACGACGCTGGGCCAATTGTGCGCCGCCCCATGGGTCTCCCGGTCGCGGCCGGCTACGACAGAGCCTGGATTCAAACCAGGATCTCTAGTGGCACAGCTAGCACTGCGATGCAGTGCCTTAGACCACTGCGCCACTCGGGAGGCAGATAGCACTGTACAGTTGGGGTCAGCATGATAGCGATAACACTGTACAGTTGGGGTTGGGTCGGCATGATAGAGATAGCACTGTACAGTTGGGGTCTGCATGATAGAGATGGCACTGTACATTTGGGGTCAGGATGATAGAGATAGCACTGTACAGTTGGGGTCTGCATGATAGAGATAGCACTGTACAGTTGGGGTCAGCATGATAGAGATAACACTGTACAGTTGGGGTTGGGTCGGCATGATAGAGATAGCACTGTACATTTGGGGTCAGGATGATAGAGATAGCACTGTACAGTTGGGGTCAGGATGAGAGAGATAGCACTGTACAGTTGGGGTCTGCATGATAGAGATAGCACTGTACATTTGGGGTCAGGGTGATAGAGATAGCACTGTACAGTTGGGGTCTGCATGATAGAGATAGCACTGTACAGTTGGGGTCAGGATGATAGAGATAGCACTGTACAGTTGGGGTCAGCATGATAGAGATAGCAATATACAGTTGGGGTAGGCATGATAGAGATAGCACTGTACAGTTGGGGTCAGGATGATAGAGATAGCACAGTACAGTTGGAGTTGGCATGATAGAGATAGTGCTGTACAGTTTGGGTCAGCATGATAGAGATAGCACTGTACAGTTGGGGTCGGCATGATAGAGAAAGCACTGTACAGTTGGGGTCAGCATGATCGAGCCAGCACTGTACAGTTGGGGTTGGGTCGGCATGATAGAGATAGCACTGTACAGTTGGGGTCAGCATGATAGAGGTAGCACTGTACAGTTGGGGTCAGCATGATAGAGATAGCACTGTACAGTTGGGGTCAGCATGATAGAGCCAACACTGTACAGTTGGGGTCAGGATTATAGAGATAGCACTGTACAGTTGGGGTCAGCATGATAGAGATAGCACTGTACAGTTGGGGTCAGCATGATAAAGCCAGCACTGTACAGTTGGGGTTGGGTCAGCATGATAGAGATAGCACTGTACAGTTGGGGTCAGCATGATAGAGCCAGCACTGTACAGTTGGGGTCAGCATGATAGAGATAGCGCTGTACAGTTGGGGTCAGAATGATAGAGATAGCACTGTACAGTTGGGGTCAGCATGATAGAGATAACACTGTACAGTTGGGGTCAGCATGATAGAGATAACACTGTACAGTTGGGGTCAGCATGATAGAGATAGCACTGTACAGTTGGGGTCAGGATGATAGAGATAGCACTGTACAGTTGGGGTCAGGATGATAGAGATAGCACTGTATATTTGGGGTCGGCATGATAGAGATAGCACTGTACAGTTGGGGTCAGGATGATATAGATAGCACTGTACAGTTGGGGTCAGGATGATAGAGATAGCACTGTACAGTTGGGGTCAGCATGATAGAGCCAGCACTGTACAGTTGGGGTCAGCATGATAGAGATAGCACTGTACAGTTGGGGTCAGCATGATAGAGCCAGCACTGTACAGTTGGGGTCAGCATGATAGAGATATCACTGTACAGTTGGGGTCTGCATGATAGAGATAGCACTGTACAGTTGGGGTCTGCATGATAGAGCCAGCACTGTACAGTTGGGGTCAGCATGATAGAGATATCACTGTACAGTTGGGGTCAGCATGATAGAGATAGCACTGTACAGTTGGGGTCAGCATGATAGAGATAGCACTGTACAGTTGGGATCAGCATGATAGAGATATCACTGTACAGTTGGGGTCTGCATGATAGAGATAGCACTGTACAGTTGGGGTCTGCATGATAGAGCCAGCACTGTACAGTTGGGGTCAGCATGATAGAGATATCACTGTACAGTTGGGGTCAGCATGATAGAGATAGCACTGTACAGTTGGGGTCAGCATGATAGAGATAGCACTGTACAGTTGGGGTCGGCATGATAGAGATAGCACTGTACAGTTGGGGTCGGCGTGATAGAGATAGCGCTGTACAGTTGGGGTCAGCATGATAGAGATAACACTGTACAGTTGGGGTCAGCATGATAGAGATAGCTATGTACAGTTGGGGTCGGCATGATAGAGATAGCACTGTACAGTTGGGGTCAGCATGATAGAGATAGCACTGTACAGTTGGGGTCAGCATGATAGAGCCAGCACTGTACAGTTGGGGTCGGCATGATAGAGATAGCACTGTACAGTTGGGGTTGGGTCGGCATGATAGAGATAGCGCTGTACAGTTGGGGTCAGCATGATAGAGATAGCACTGTACAGTTGGGGTCGTTATGATAGAGATAGCACTGTACAGTTGGGGTTGGGTCGGCATGATAGAGATAGCGCTGTACAGTTGGGGTCGGCATGATAGAGATAGCACTGTACAGTTGGGGTCAGCATGATAGAGATAGCACTGTACAGTTGGGATCAGCATGATAGAGATAGCACTGTACAGTTGGGGTCAGCATGATAGAGATAGCACTGTACAGTTGGGATCAGCATGATAGAGATAGCACTGTACAGTTGGGATCGGCATGATAGAGATAGCACTGTACAGTTGGGGTCAGCATGAAAGAGATAGCACTGTACAGGTGGGGTCTGCATGATAGAGCCAGCACTGTACAGTTGGGGTCAGGATGATAGATAGCACTGTACAGTTGGGGTTGGGTCGGCATGATAGAGATAGCACTGTACAGTTGGGGTCGGCATGATAGAGATAGCACTGTACAGTTGGAGTTGGGTCGGCATGATAGAGATAGCGCTGTACAGTTGGAGTTGGGTCGGCATGATAGAGATAGCGCTGTACAGTTGGGGTTGGGTCGGCATGATAGAGATAGCGCTGTACAGTTGGGGTCGGCATGATAGAGATAGCACTGTACAGTTGGGGTTGGGTCGGCATGATAGAGATAGCACTGTAGAGTTGGGGTCAGGATGATAGAGATAGCGCTGTACAGTTGGGGTCAGCATGATAGAGATAGCACTGTACAGTTGGGATCAGCATGATAGAGATAGCACTGTACAGTTGGGGTCGGCATGATAGAGATAGCGCTGTACAGTTGGGGTCGGCATGATAGAGATAGCACTGTACAGTTGGAGTTGGGTCGGCATGATAGAGATAGCACTGTACAGTTGGGGTCGGCATGATAGAGATAGCACTGTACAGTTGGGGTCAGCATGATAGATAGCACTGTACAGTTGGGGTTGGGTCGGCATGATAGAGATAGCACTGTACAGTTGGGGTCGGCATGATAGAGATAGCACTGTACAGTTGGGGTCAGCATGATAGAGATAGCACTGTATAGTTGGAGTCGGCATGATAGAGATAGCGCTGTACAGTTGGGGTCAGCATGATAGAGATAGCACTGTATAGTTGGAGTTGGGTCGGCATGATAGAGATAGCGCTGTACAGTTGGGGTTGGGTCAGCATGATAGAGATAGCGCTGTACAGTTGGGGTCGGCATGATAGAGATAGCACTGTATAGTTGGAGTTGGGTCGGCATGATAGAGATAGCGCTGTACAGTTGGGGTTGGGTCGGCATGATAGAGATAGCACTGTACAGTTGGGGTCGGCATGATAGAGATAGCACTGTATAGTTGGAGTTGGGTCGGCATGATAGAGATAGCGCTGTACAGTTGGGGTCTGCGTGATAGAGATAGCGCTGTACAGTTGGGGTTGGGTCGGCATGATAGAGATAGCGCTGTACAGTTGGGGTCGGCATGATAGAGATAGCGCTGTACAGTTGGGGTCAGCATGATAGAGATAGCACTGTACAGTTGGGGTCGGCATGATAGAGATAGCGCTGTACAGTTGGGGTCGGCATGATAGAGATAGCACTGTATAGTTGGAGTTGGGTCGGCATGATAGAGATAGCGCTGTATAGTTGGAGTCGGCATGATAGAGATAGCACTGTACAGTTGGGGTCAGCATGATAGAGATAGCACTGTACAGTTGGGGTTGGGTCGGCATGATAGAGATAGCACTGTACAGTTGGGGTCAGCATGATAGAGATAGCGCTGTACAGTTGGGGTCAGCATGATAGAGATAGCACTGTACAGTTGGGGTCGGCATGATAGAGATAGCACTGTACAGTTGGGGTTGGGTCGGCATGATAGAGATAGCACTGTATAGTTGGAGTTGGGTCGGCATGATAGAGATAGCGCTGTATAGTTGGGGTCAGGATGATAGAGATAGCGCTGTACAGTTGGGGTCAGCATGATAGAGATAGCACTGTACAGTTGGGATCAGCATGATAGAGATAGCACTGTACAGTTGGGGTCGGCATGATAGAGATAGCGCTGTACAGTTGGGGTCGGCATGATAGAGATAGCACTGTACAGTTGGAGTTGGGTCGGCATGATAGAGATAGCACTGTACAGTTGGGGTCGGCATGATAGAGATAGCACTGTACAGTTGGGGTCAGCATGATAGATAGCACTGTACAGTTGGGGTTGGGTCGGCATGATAGAGATAGCACTGTACAGTTGGGGTCGGCATGATAGAGATAGCACTGTACAGTTGGGGTCAGCATGATAGAGATAGCACTGTATAGTTGGAGTCGGCATGATAGAGATAGCGCTGTACAGTTGGGGTCAGCATGATAGAGATAGCACTGTATAGTTGGAGTTGGGTCGGCATGATAGAGATAGCGCTGTACAGTTGGGGTTGGGTCAGCATGATAGAGATAGCGCTGTACAGTTGGGGTCGGCATGATAGAGATAGCACTGTATAGTTGGAGTTGGGTCGGCATGATAGAGATAGCGCTGTACAGTTGGGGTTGGGTCGGCATGATAGAGATAGCACTGTACAGTTGGGGTCGGCATGATAGAGATAGCACTGTATAGTTGGAGTTGGGTCGGCATGATAGAGATAGCGCTGTACAGTTGGGGTCTGCGTGATAGAGATAGCGCTGTACAGTTGGGGTTGGGTCGGCATGATAGAGATAGCGCTGTACAGTTGGGGTCGGCATGATAGAGATAGCGCTGTACAGTTGGGGTCAGCATGATAGAGATAGCACTGTACAGTTGGGGTCGGCATGATAGAGATAGCGCTGTACAGTTGGGGTCGGCATGATAGAGATAGCACTGTATAGTTGGAGTTGGGTCGGCATGATAGAGATAGCGCTGTATAGTTGGAGTCGGCATGATAGAGATAGCACTGTACAGTTGGGGTCAGCATGATAGAGATAGCACTGTACAGTTGGGGTTGGGTCGGCATGATAGAGATAGCACTGTACAGTTGGGGTCAGCATGATAGAGATAGCGCTGTACAGTTGGGGTCAGCATGATAGAGATAGCACTGTACAGTTGGGGTCGGCATGATAGAGATAGCACTGTACAGTTGGGGTTGGGTCGGCATGATAGAGATAGCACTGTATAGTTGGAGTTGGGTCGGCATGATAGAGATAGCGCTGTATAGTTGGAGTTGGGTCGGCATGATAGAGATAGCGCTGTATAGTTGGGGTCGGCATGATAGAGATAGCACTGTACAGTTGGGGTCGTTATGATAGAGATAGCACTGTACAGTTGGGGTCGGCATGATAGAGATAGCACTGTACAGTTGGAGTTGGGTCGGCATGATAGAGATAGCGCTGTATAGTTGGAGTCGGCATGATAGAGATAGCACTGTACAGTTGGGGTCAGCATGATAGAGATAGCACTGTACAGTTGGGGTTGGGTCGGCATGATAGAGATAGCACTGTACAGTTGGGGTCAGCATGATAGAGATAGCACTGTACAGTTGGGGTCGGCATGATAGAGATAGCACTGTATAGTTGGAGTCGGCATGATAGAGATAGCGCTGTACAGTTGGGGTCTGCATGATAGAGATAGCACTGTACAGTTGGGGTTGGGTCGGCATGATAGAGATAGCACTGTACAGTTGGGGTTGGGTCGGCATGATAGAGATAGCGCTGTACAGTTGGGGTTGGGTCAGCATGATAGAGATAGCACTGTACAGTTGGGGTTGGGTCGGCATGATAGAGATAGCGCTGTACAGTTGGGGTCGGCATGATAGAGATAGCACTGTACAGTTGGGGTCAGCATGATAGAGATAGCGCTGTACAGTTGGAGTTGGGTCGGCATGATAGAGATAGCACTGTACAGTTGGGGTCAGCATGATAGAGATAGCGCTGTACAGTTGGGGTTGGGTCGGCATGATAGAGATAGCGCTGTACAGTTGGGGTCAGGATGATAGAGATAGCGCTGTACAGTTGGGGTTGGGTCGGCATGATAGAGATAGCGCTGTACAGTTGGGGTCTGCGTGATAGAGATAGCACTGTACAGTTGGGGTCAGGATGATAGAGATAGCGCTGTACAGTTGGGGTCGGCGTGATAATGGGAAAAGGCTTTTAGTGTGTTTACACAGTCAACAATTCCCACAAGGTGTTGTTTTCCTTTGAAACAATAATAGACAAATGATGTAACTGAATGTAACTAAATGACGTAACTCACTCCTAAGACCTGAGTACGTAGAAACAAAGTTGGGATAAAGCCTTGATTATGGTAAGTCATGTTCAATAGACAGTGAAAGAAGATTACTGGACTACTGACCCAAGAACGTGTAATTACTGACCTTAGGTCAGCGCTAGGAGACGGGATGAGGGTTTGTTGTGTGAGATATAGGCCAGTGACCGGGGAAGAACTGGTCCTAGGTCAGATCTAAAGGAATAGGCGATTGATTGCTGTAGCGTGTGTTTTGGGTAAGTGACAGGATAAGCACTGTTCCTAAACCAGTCCTAGGAAAAGGGCATTAGTGTAGTGGTGTGAGTGATGGGCAAGTAGCTGTTCCTAGTTCAGTCCTAGAAGAAAACTATGGATTAGTGTAGTGGTGTGAGTCAGTGAAATGATCCTAGACCCGTCCTAGGAGGCTGCTATAGGATTAGTGTAGTGGTGTGAGTCAGTGAAATGATCCTAGACCCGTCCTAGGAGGCTGCTATAGGATTAGTGTAGTGGTGTGTGTGACAGTTTAAGTACTGATCCTAGACCAGATCTTCTAGAAAAGGGGGATTAGTGTTGTGCTGTGAATAACAGAATAAGAACTGATTTCAGGTCAGTATTAGAAGGAACAGGGGGATTAGGCTGCATAAGGGGTGCTATTTTGGGGATGCAGACAGGGATTAGCGTAGTGTTGCTGTGAGGGACCATTTAAGAACGGTTCCTAAACCAGCATGAATAAAGGTAAGGAGTAGTGTAGTGTTATGAGTAGCAGGAGATGACAGACCCCAGATCAGTGAGAGGAGGTTTATCCCGCCCTCTCTTGTAGCAGAGGTAGATCTGAGGCCCTCTGAGACTGGCTCCGTTCAGCTCTGCAGACAGACCAGAAGGGGTAGACTCCAGGCAGGTGTACGCCTGAGGAACCTAGGAATAATTATACACAAAGACAAAACATCAGAACAATACATTCATAGTGCAGGTACAGGGTATATGGGCATGGCACTTGCAATGCCAAGGATTGAGGGTTCAATTCCCGCTGTGGCCGCCATATAATAAAATGTATGCACACTGTAAGTCGCTCTAGATTTTAAAAAAAAGTGTCTGCTAAATGACAAATGATCCTCAGCACAGATACTGTTTTGTTGAAAAGCACAGGACCCGGAATAGAACCTTGGGGTACACCATTTTATTAAATTCAGAAATCACAAAGCTCTGTACATTAAAAACAACTTTACAAATGCTTTAAGAAGGCTGAAAGTTAGGGTTGAAAAACGTGGGTAACTTTCCCAAAATTCCCAGAATTTCCAGAAATCCTTGTTGGAAGATCCCAGAATCAGGAGTGGATAAGTAAGTAGAAAATCCAGAAATCACCCCAACCCGGATTTCTGGAAAACCTGGGAATTTGGGGAAAGTTACCAGAATAGTTTTACCTTAAAAAAGTTAAAATCTAAACTAGTACTGTACTACTGTACCTCTTCCCCCAGGGAGCGTATGACCACAGCTACGTCTGTGATGGGGGCCAGGGGCCGACCACCAGGGGCCGAGCGGGGGAAGCGACCAGGAACATCATCCAGCTGCAGCTCCTCCTCTAAGGGCTTGGAGGAGTCAGTGAGCCCCGCTACCACAAAGTAGTCTGCTATACGAGGACCTGTCTCCTCCATCATCAACCATGGGCTAGAGAGAGAGCGAGAGAGAGAGGGGGGAGGGGAAGAGGGGGAGAGGGGGGGAGAGAGGGAGAGAGCGAGGGAGGGAATGGGAGGGAGAGGGAGAGAGAGTTTAGGTTAGTTTATTTATAAATAAATACAGTATGAAGTAGTCTGTTACACAAGGGTTGGGGAAGCAACTCTGAAAATATAGTTTACCAAGCTATCAATTAATTCCCACTGGAAGAATGTAAACTACACTAAAGCTACCCTTAAGAAAAAATATAGTTTACTTAACTAAAGTTACTTTGAAAAAGTAGTTCACTACATCCAAACTACTTCGTGAAAAATTATCATACGTAAATCTGAAATGTCATAGAATACAAGTGCAGATCCCTTTAAGGTCATATGTTAACAGGATGTGTAACGATGTTTAAAGTGAGAATTAGGCAGGTCTAATGTAGCTCTTGTGGCTACACGGCTTGAAATGGTTAGACCAGAAAGACCAGCCGACGTGCAGCGCTAGCTCACGTTACACTCTAAGACCAGGAAACGTGAGACGTTAGTCCACACGTTTGAAGTGAGAAACTCTGAAACTCTCAATCTCTACACAAGAAAAAGAAACTCACTAGTCGGCAGTAGTCTAGAACTTTCACTAAAGACACGAGTTGGGAAGGACCATCCCATCTCAGACAACCGTTGGTACATCTGAAGTATCTATTCTAACAAACACTCAATTTGAAGACAAGCGGAGTCTCACCGAAGTGGGATATGGACACTCAAACCCTTTTTGAGAAAGTGGTTCAACAGCGAGACAACGATCAAGGACAGCTAGGCGTAAATATGCATTGCATTTCTTATCCGAATGAGCGGTGGTTTCCAAATGTAACAACGATAAGTTGAATCTCTTTGTCTCTCTTTCTATTGACCCCTCCATCCCCTAACCAAGCAGTCATGCTGTTGTTAGTCCACTAGGGACCTGTTTTCATTGTATTACGTTAGTAATCAATAACCTATACCGTATGTGTTTATGTATTCTGTGTTATTATTTAGTTAATTAGTAAATAAATAATTAAGCCAATTTGTGTATTGCTGATTCATCAATAAGGTTAGGGTTCTTGCAGGTTCAAGGATTATGCGACGTTCCGAATGAGACAGATATGAGGAAATTATTTAATAAGTGACTGTTATCGATATGTAACATATATATATCTTCTAAGAGATTCATTCGGGAGATGGTCATTCGTTAAACAACTTCTTCCGTGGTGCCCCAAATTCCTTGTCACGTCCTGGCTCTGGGGACTCTTATATGTTGAGCCAGGGTGTTAGTTTCTATGTTTAGTTTTCCAGGTTTCTGTTCTAGTATGTTGTATGTTCTATGTTCATGGTCTAGTTCGTTGTATTTCTATGTTGGCCAGGGTGGTTCCCAATCAGAGGCAGCTGATTCTCGTTGTCTCTGATTGGGAACCATACTTAGGCAGCCTGTTTGGCACTTGTCTTTTGTGGGATCTTGTTCCGGAGAGGTTTGTGTTTTGTTAACCTTAGGACTTCACGTTTTGTTTTGTTGTTTTGTGTTATTATGTAAGGACTCATTAAAAGATGTACGCATATCACGCTGCGCCTTGGTCCGTTGCTTACGACGACCGGGACATTCCTAATGAGTTGATCGTTACATGATTCATTTAATAGAGTGACAATTAAACATAGTTAGTTGATTCGATAAATAACAGTCATCACATTAATGAAAGTCACGTCACGACAACCTTCAGTACCAGTCAAAAGTTTGGACACACCTACTCATTCAAGGGTTTTTCTTTATTTGTACTATTTTCTATGAAATAACACATATGGAGTCAAGTAGTAACCAAAAAAGTGTTAAACAAATCAAAATATATTTTATATTTGAGATTCTTCAAATAGCCACCCTTTGCCTTGATGACAGCTTTGCACACTCTTTTTAACACTTTTTTGGTTACTACGTGATTCCATATGTGTTATTTCATAGTTTTGATGTCTTCACTATTATTCTACAATGTAGAAAATAGTAAAAATAAAGAAAAACCCTTGAATTAGTAGGTGTGTCCAAACGTTTGACTGGTACTGTATATGTGATATATGTCTCTACCTTAACCTATATATTATATACACTACCGTTTAAAAGTTTGGGGTCACTTAGAAATGTCCTTGTTTTCGAAAGAAAAGCCATATCTCAGACTGTCCATCTTAATCTTTTATTTTTATTGGCCAGTCTGAGATATGGCTTTTTCTTTGCACCTCTGCCTAGAAGGTCAGCATCCCGGAGTCGCCTCTTCACTGTTGACGTTGAGACAGGCGTTTTGCGGGTACTATTGAATGAAGCTGCCAGTTGAGGACCTGTGAGGCGCCTGTTTCTCAAACTAGACACTCTAATGTATTTGCCCTGGCTGTATTGGGAATGGGTTAGCATAAAGCTATTATCTCCAGTGTCCAGAGTGCTAGACCTGGTTGTATTGGGAATGGGTTAGCATAAAGCTATTATCTCTTCAGAGTACTACACCTGTTATTGTACATAGAATAGAATAGAATAGAATAGAATAGAATAGAATAGAATAGAATAGAACAGAATAGAATAGAACATAATAGAATAGAGTGGTAGAAAATAATATACAATAATATAATATAATAGAATAGAATAGAATAGAATAGAATAGAATAGAATAGAGTGGTAGAAAATAATATAAAATAATACAATAGAAATAGAATAGAATAGAATAGAATATACAGTGGGGAATAAAAGTATTTATTACATTTTTTGACCAAATACTTATTTTCCACCATAATTTGCAAATAAATTCATTAAAAATCCTACAATGTGATTTTCTGGATATTTTTTCCTCAATTTGTCTGTCATAGTTGACGTGTACCTATGATGAAAATTACAGGCCTCTCTCATCTTTTTAAGTGGGAGAACTTGCACAATTGGTGGCTGACTAAATACTTTTTCCCCCACTGTATATGGATTAGAATAAAATAAAACAGAATTGAATAGAGTATTGCAGACACAGGCACTGTGGCCACATTGCTAACCTACTAACCTGCTAACCTACTAACCTACCAACCTACTAACCTGCTAACCTGCTAACCTACTAACCTACTAACCTGCCAACCTACTAACCTACAAACTAACCCCCCCCCCCCCCCCCCTTTTCATGACACACCATGAAAGCTCACTGCTCTGAGTCACTCAGAAATTCCCCAGAACTCTCTGTATGCAATCTTTCTGCCATTTCCACATTCAGAGAGCAGGCTGAGGATCTTTCATCATCAAGCAGTGTGGAGGAGGAGGCTAACTACGCACAACGGATTTCCCCCTGAACCATCCGCTTCCAAAACAGAAATTTGGCTGAATTATGTGAGCAGAGCAACACCTCCCTTGGGGTAGTAATCAGACCAGAAAGAGGAACTCCTTGGTTAAGTTGTCACAAAGACACCGTGACTGATTTCTCGCAAATTATTACATCATTTCCCTAATGTAGTGAATCATGAAATTGGCATGCATCCTCTGAATTAAAACCTCCCTATTTCATGCATTCCACACCCACCTCCACCACCAAACACCATCCATGACAACCATGAGTCACATCCCACTGTCACTAAGAGTTACACTGAACAAAAACATACACGCAACATGCAACAATTTACTGAGTTACAGTTCATATAAGGAAATCAGTCAATTGAAATAAATTCATTAAACCCTAATCTATGGATTTCACATGACTGGGAATAAAGATATGCATCTGTTTGTTACAGATACCTTTAAAAAAAAGGTAGGGTCGTGGATCAGAAAACCAGTCAGTATCTGGTGTGACCATTGGTTACATAGAGTTGATCAGGCTGTTGATTGTGGCCTGTGGAAAGTTGTCCCACTCCTCTTCAATGGCTGTGCAAAGTTGCTGGATATTGGCGGGAACAGGAACACACTGTCGTACACGTCAATCCAGAGCATCCCAAACATGCTCAATGGGTGACGTCTGGGAACTGGGAAATGTTCAGCTTCCGGGAATTGTGTACAGATCCTTGCAACATGGGCCGTGCATTATCATGCTGAAACATGAGTTGATGGCGGCGGATGAATGGCACGACAATGGGCCTCAGGATCTCGTCACGGTATCTCTGTACATTCAAATTGCCATTGATAAAGTGCAATTGTGTTCGTTGTCCGTAGTTTATGCCTGCCCATCCCATAACAATCTGTTCACAACGTTGACATCAGCAAACTTCTCGCCCATACGAAGCCATCTGCCTGGTATAGTTGAAACCGGGATTCATTCATAAAGAGCACACTTCTCCAGCGTGCCAGTGGACATCGAAGGTGAGCATTCTCCAGCGTGCCAGTGGCCATCGAAGGTGAGCATTCTCCAGCGTGCCAGTGGCCATCGAAGGTGAGCATTCTCCAGCGTGCCAGTGGCCATCGAAGGTGAGCATTCTCCAGCGTGCCAGTGGCCATCGAAGGTGAGCATTCTCCAGCGTGCCAGTGGCCATCGAAGGTGAGCATTCTCCAGCGTGCCAGTGGCCATTGAAGGTGAGCATTCTCCAGCGTGCCAGTGGCCATCGAAGGTGAGCGTTCTCCAGCGTGCCAGTGGCCATCGAAGGTGAGCATTCTCCAGCGTGCCAGTGGCCATCGAAGGTGAGCATTCTCCAGCGTGCCAGTGGCCATCGAAGGTGAGCATTCTCCAGCGTGCCAGTGGCCATCGAAGGTGAGCATTCTCCAGCGTGCCAGTGGCCATCGAAGGTGAGCATTCTCCAGCGTGCCAGTGGCCATCGAAGGTGAGCATTCTCCAGCGTGCCAGTGGCCATCAAAGGTGTGCATTCTCCAGCGTGCCAGTGGCCATCAAAGGTGAGCATTCTCCAGCGTGCCAGTGGCCATCGAAGGTGCAGATGCAGATGAGCTTCCCTGAGACAGTTTGCCAGTTTGTGCCGCAGGTGAAGAAGCCGGATGTGGAGGTCCTGGGCTGGTGTGGTCATACACGTGGTCTGCGTTTGTGAGGCCGG